ACTAAATATGTATATAAAAGAGTAATAATAATAAGCTATAACTACTGACTGACAAACTGAATGACTCCATTGACTAGGTTGGTGACAATGTAAAAGGAGGGTCCTGAATGATACAATATATTTAGTATTGTTTGCTTTTTGCTTTGTTTTGTTTCAGGTTTACTTCGATAAATCTCTACGATAATACTTGGCAACACCTGTGTCTCACCTGGGAAAACACTCAAGGAGTAACAAAACTCTACAAAGATGGCCAATTTACCGGACAGCTAACGAATAGTGCCACTAAGAATTATGCACTCAAGGCTGGCGGCGCTCTGGTGCTTGGACAAGAGCAAGACTCTGTCGGCGGAGGCTTCAATCCTAGACAAACTCTTCATGGCCGATTGGCAAGTGTCAACATGTGGGATAAAGTTCTGCCCGAAAGCGACATTGCCGCTCAGTACACAAATTGCAGCGTACCTCATGGTTCTGTTGTTAACTGGTCTGTATTCAAAACTCTTAATCATGGCAATGTCACACTTGAAGAGCCATGAACTACATTGGTCATTGATCGAAACTCTTGCGGAGCCTAAAATCATAACTCGCGTGATGTAAATTCCTAATATTAGTGAATGTACCATATGCATAGCTTATATATACCAAAATATGAAACAATATTTTGTTGAAACGCTGCTTTTGGCCAGTCATTTGGAAAACATTTTATTTATTTATTTTTATTCACCCATTTTACTCATTTGTTGGAAAAATATATTAAAATAAGAGGTAAGTTTTCAGCTGACTGGTGTTTGCCATAAAGTTAAGACAGTTACTTGTTTTATTGTGAGCAGCCTTAACAACATAAGACTTTTCTTCTCTGTTCTAATTCATTCATGACTCTTGAGAATAAATTTAGAGAGCTTTTCAAGATATTTCAAGATCCCAAAGAAACTTCAAACATTGAGAGGCTAACAGGACGAGCGCTAATACTTTGAATGTGCGCCTATGAAAGTCTTCTAGAATGATAATCGCATATGCCCTGTCGCATATGATATGTTGCGATTATGAGAAAAGCCTGCATGTCCTTAATAAGCCACCGTATTCTACCGCTTTTTGTAACCTCTTAAAATACTTAGCGTGTTTCTGTACAGTTTTCTTGGAGTCCATATTACTTACCATCGAAAAACATCGCATGCCCCATAAGGGCCACAGTAGTAGTCTAGAAAATTCCAAAATAAAATTTACAGAATCTGTATATTCTGCTGTTGACATCGTAATTTTAGAACTAGTGTATGTGCTATAGACGGATGGGGGTGGGGGTGGGGGATGGGCTATGACAAGGTTTGATCTATTAAACTGTTAGAGCGGAAGTTTAGCTATTGACTATGCTACATTTTTAATGTTAGCAGTTATGCAGATCCCCTCACCCTCCTCCATGGTGAACCTTGCATTACATCTCTCCTGTATTATGTTTCTTGAAAACTACATCATCCAAGCCAATCAAGATGAAAAATCTTTTCATTTATGTTTTCGATGCAAATCCTCAGACTCAAGATAGAGCACTTTTCGACTGAATATCGTAAAAGCGTGAAAACAAACCTGTAAAAGGAAAGACCAAAAATTGCTAAAAGAATTCAGAGTAAAATTAGGCTGCGGGCTTCCCAAATAACAAAACCCACCAAGCGCTGTCTTCAAGCAATAAAGTTGGATAAATACAATAAAAAAGAAACTTAAATAAACATACGCTCTATTCTCTTCTAAAACTTTCCGTGGCAGCAGAACGAGCTGAACTGGAGCTCTTCCCTAACATTATTTATCTCCTGAATTCACACATCAAAAACTAGAGAGCTCTAAAATAATTAACAGCGACTAGGACCGAAAAAAAATAATAAATCCAGGGGCACTAGAAAATATCTACGAAGGAAGACAAACAGGAGCAAATCAGGAGGCCAAATCCCCGAAAAAGGAGAACAAAATAATAATTGATGGCTAGATATGCCTTTAACATAAGCAGATATCTGCAAAGCCCACATAAAAGTTTAGAGTTGCA